GGTTTCGTAACGATTTTAACATAAAAACATCAAAAACCCAATGGTTTTTTAAGAAAAAATTGTCAAAATGTCCTTCCGCGCGCGCTGTCCGAATCCCACAAAACCAATGGTTTTTCAACATTTATGTTACATGAGCTCGCGCGAGCTACTTTTTCTTGTTCTAACATAATCAAATTTCAATAATCCCTTGCAAAAAATAAGGTAAAGTGGACATTCGCGCGCGCAAGACGAAATCCTTCCAGAACCTTAGGTTTCGTAACGATTTCAACATAAAAACATCAAAAACCCAATGGTTTTTCAAAAAAAAATGTCCAAATTTCATCCCGCGCGCGCTGTCCGACTCCCACAAAACCAATGGTTTTTCAACATTTATGTTACATGAGCTCGCGCGAGCTACTTTTTCTTGTTCTAACATAATCAAATTTCAATACTCCCTTGCAAAAAAAAGTAAAGTGGACATTCGCGCGCGCAAGACCAACAAAAAACACGACGATCTCAGGAACTTGCCCCAAAAATGTGACCAACTCCGCTCTCTCTGTCTCTCTCTCTGTCTGCTCTCTGTCTCTCTCTCTGTCTGTCTGTGTCATGTATTGTATGTCACAATTGCAGGATGCTGGGCACACGCGCGCCCCGAATAAGTGACCAAGTTCTGTGGGTGTGTACCCCACGCCAGTGTAGTAGCCACGGTCGTCCGCACGCCACGAAGTGAAGTGTCCCAACGTCATAGGGCGGGAAGCTGGGTTTGGGTGGTCGCGAAGAGTCGTTTGGATATTTGGTAGAGCTTGAACTGCCCCCCCACGAAGTGGGGGTATTGTCTCGCGTCGCATGAAAACCCTGGCACTGGTGAGAACACTGAGCGTTCGGGTAAAATGATTGTTGTTGTTGTTGTTGTTGTTGTTGTTGTTGTTGTCGGTCTTGTTGTTGTTGTTGTCTTTGTTGTTGTTGCTGTTGTTGTTGTTGTTGCTGTTTTGGTTGTTGTTGTTGTTGTTGGTGTTGTTGTGGTTGTCGTCGCCGTCGTTGTTATTGTGGTTGTTGGCGTGGTTGTGGTTGTGGTTGTTGTTGTCGTTGTTGTTGCTGTTGCTGTTGCTGTTGTTGTGGTTGTTGTGGCTGTGGTTGTTGTTGTCGTGGTTGTGGTTGTGGTTGTGGTTGTGGTTGTGGTTGTCGTTGTTGTTGTTGTTGTTGTTGTTGTTGCTGCTGTTTATGTTGTTGTTGTGGTTGTGGTTGTTGTTGGTGTTGCTGTTGTGGTTGTTTTTGGTTTTGTGGTTGTTGTCGTTGCTGTTGTTGTGGTTGTTTTTTTGCTGGGTAAGCAGATGGTGCAAGGCGGCGCATCTCGCAGAGGCTCCGCTCGCGGCGCGGGGAGGCCCGCGCCCCATGTCGACGTCAGGCACTGCGCATGTGAGAAGCTCTGCTGGAAGGAGGAGGAGGAGGAGGAGGAGGAGGAGGAGGAGGGGCAGGCGGAGGAGGAGGAGGAGGAGGAGGAGGGGAAGGAGGGGGAGGACTGGGAGGAGGAGGAGGAGGAGGAGGAGGAGGAGGAAGGAGGAGGAGGAGGAGGAGGAGGAGGAGGAGGAGGAGGAGGGGAATAGCAGAAGAGGCCCCTGACGGCCCTCTCGGGACCTCGGAGGGGCTTCCTGGGCCGAGGGTTGCCGTCTGATGCCGCCGATGCATTTAGACATGGCTGATGCATCGACGTGTTCCGCATGACGGGATGGGCCGAAGGCCACTGGATAATACTGCGATGTTCGCCTTGAACACCTTCGTACGTTCACGAGCGTGTGCCATTCACTGGAGCTGGTTCCATCGAAGCTTTCTGGGCAGGCTTCGGGGAACGCCATTCGGTAGGAATTTGCGAGCCCCCGCCGTGGGCCGTCACTGACGGACGTGACGAAACGATGCTCGCGATGTCGGAGCGTGTGTGGCGACAGCTGTACACATTGATACGGATCAGGATCTGCCAAACGCACTGAGGAGGACGAGGAGGAGGAGGAGGAGGAGGAGGAGGAGGAGGAGGAGGAGGAGGAGGAGGAGGAGGATGAGGAGGGAGGGAAAATGGAGCAGGAAGAGGAGGAGGAGGAGGAGGAGGAGGAGGAGGAGGCGCTCTCTCGGAGCCTCTTGATGGTCCGTGGGCACCCTGTCGGCGGCCGAACGTTGCGGCCAGAGCTCGGTCACACCATGGGACTGGGTTCCCCCAGCCGTTGTGGAATCGCTTCGGCGAATACGCTGGGGAGAAAGAAGCAGAGGAGGAGAGGGAGGAACAATCGTTGTCACCCCAACATGCTTATACTATATGTGCGTCGCCCCCCCAGGGGCGACGCGCGCACCGAGAAATCTTATAATATATGCGTCGTGGCGGGCGCTTTCTGGCCACACCGCTCGGGAACCGATATATATATATATATATATATATATATATTACACCATGCGTATACTATATGTTCGGGTCGGACGCGCGCCTCCGAGGAGGACATATAGCATTAGTATGTCTCTGTGTGCTCCAAACAACAAGAATGAGGATGCCTCTTGGGAGCCTCTTGGAGCACCCTTGTGGCCTCCTGGGGGCTTTCTTGCGGCCTCTTGGAGGCCTCCCGGGGGCTTCCTGTACCTCTTGCGGGCCCTTGGAGGCTCTTTGGGAGGTTCTTTGGTCCTCTGAGGGCGTTCCTGGCCCGTCTGATTCCGTCTTAGGGGCCTCTCTGGGCCGACTTGGGGCCGTCTTGGGGCGTTTTGCAGACCGTCTTGGGCGTCTTGGAGGTCTTCTGGCCCGTCTTGGGCCCCCTGCGGGCTGTCTTGGGGGCGTCTTGGGCCGTCAGGAGGCCATCTCGAAGGCCTCTTGGGCGCTCTTGGGGCCATCTTGGGGGCCTCTTGGGCTATCCCGGACCGCCAGAAAGCTGAACATGCCCAAACGCAGGAATCAGTCGAACACCTTAGATCAATCAATGGTTTTGGTATCTTTTTGCATTCCTGGAGGTCTTCTTGAGGCCTTTAGGGCCGTCTTGGAGGCGTCTTGGGGCGATCTTGAGACCATCTCGGGCCATCTTGAGGGCATCTCGGCCCGCCTTGGGGACATCTTGGGAATGTCTTGGAGGCCATATTGGGCCATCTTGGCCGTCTTGGGGGTATCGTAGCGGCCGTCTTGGGCCATCTCGGACGTCTTGGACGCGAGTGGGCCAGCGGAGAACGAACTGTTTCCAGATGGTCGGCGGGTTGTGCCGATATCCCATGGGGAGCTTACACACCAAAAGTACTCATAACAATTGCGGGCAGAACGTGCGCAGGGAAGAGGGCGAGATAATATCCGACGAATCCAGAAGAGAAGGGGGAGGAAGCGGAGGATGAGGAGGAGGAGGAGGAGGAGAAGGAGGAGGAGAGGGAGCAGGAGGACAAGAGGGAGAGGAGGAGAAGGAGGAGGACGAGGAGACCTCCTGGCAGACTACCGGTGAAACCCTTGCGGGCTCGCAGGCGCCTCCGCCACCCTTTTGGAGGCTTCCCGGGTGCTTCCTTGGGCTTCTTGGGGGCCTCTTTGGCAGCCTTTCGGCGTTCCTGGCCTGTCTGACCCCCTGGGAGGTCGTTTTGAGAACCTCGAGCGTTTCGCCCGGTTTTGAGTGGATCTGCTTCTCTCCTTATGATGTTCCAACCTATTTTGATCACCAGAAAGAATGACGAGCACCGAACAACAACCGAAACTGGAGGGCTTTCACGTGGCGGGCTCGGGAGGCGATGCCCGTTCGACACTGCTTCGATACTTTTCTCTGGGTGCTCGCAATTATTCCTGGGATGTGGTCCTGGAGTGCGATGGGAGCAGCACAAGCGTCTCCCCCTGCTAGAATGGGCCCTGGGCCAAACAACTCGCACGCTGTTCGACCATGTGGTGCGGATGGAGTTCGCGTGCTTTCCGATCGACCAGTCTTTCGTGCTCGCCTGAGCCGCGCCGACGCGCCCTAGGGCGTATGGTTCACCTATCCTTTCCTTTCGTTTTCTTGGCAGATCTTCGCGGGGCCCACCCGGTGCAGGCCCTCGCGGCCCCCTCCAAGTGGGAGGGGGGGGGGCCGAGCCCGGGGAGCGCAGGCCGCTGCCGCCGTCGCGCCGCGCGCCCCCGGGCGGCACGCACCGCGCCGCATGTGACCGCCCTTGCAGTGACGTCGCGCTCTTGCGCGGGGCCGTGCGTTTGTCGAAGCGACCAAGGTGAAGTCGGGCATGTCCCTCTACAGGAGGAGACGCCCAAAATATTCCAGATTTCGTAATAAAAAGGAGGGGGTCTGTACCTAAGACAAGCCATTTCAGACCTCCCCCGTGGGAGAACCCTCCAAAACATCGTCCCCTGACCCCCCCAGGCCCTCCAAGATAGCCTGGAAGAGACCCCCCCCGAAATGAGACCCCCCTCCCTTTATTACGAAATCTGGAGTAGTCAAAAAATAATGCGGGGACGATTTGTGTATAATTTTTTCGATCGTCCCGAGTCCGCCTGTAGGGGGACATGCCCGACCTGAGACTAGGGCTTACCCGCGGCTTTCTGGCAGCGGGATCTGCGCGCCATGGTGTGGACGTGGAAGGGGAGTGTCTCCGGGGCTTGGCGGAGGGGGAGGTTGGAGGGGAGGGTGTGGCTGGAGGAGGCGGCCGCTGGAGGGAGAGGTGGGCGAGGGATGCAGGTGAGCAGGCCTGAAGGCAGTAACGCGGTGGTGGAGGCGGTGTCAGGGGAACCGTACCCATGTGGGCACGACGTGGTGTGGACAGAAACTGTTCCTGGCGCCGCGCTCTGTGTTCATCGCATCTTCTGCGGGGAGCTGGTGTCCTCCCCTTCCTCCTCCTCCTCCTCCTCCTCCTCCTCCTCCTCCTCCTCCTCCTCCTCCTCCTCCTCCTCGTCCCCCCCCTACCCCTCCTCCTCCTCCTCCTCTTCTTCCTCCTCCTCCTCTTCTTCCTCCTCCTCCTCCTCCTCCTCCTCCTCCTCCTCCTCCTCCTCCTCCCCCTCCTCTTCCTTCTCCTCTTCGGCCTCGCGACCCCGCCCCGAGGACAACCCGCTGTACCTGGAGTACTCCGTGGACGAGCACCTCGCCTTCTTCGCGGCCCTGCGCGGCGTGCCGGCCGCGCGGGCCACGCGGGAGATCGACGACGCGCTGGGCGCGCTGGGGCTCACAGAGAAGCGGTCGGCCCGGGTGCAGACGCTGAGCGGCGGGCAGAAGCGGCGGCTGTGGGTCGCTGCCAGAGCCAACAACATCGGAGCGGCCAGATGTCAGGGAGCCCATCAGCGTGTCACTCCTTCATTGTTGTCCGAAGGCTAAGTGTTTTTTGGACAGTGACACGCGGATGGGTTCTCATGGTGCCGCGCTATTGATGTTGCTCCTCCCCAGGTCGCCACGAGCATTCTCGGGATGACCCCGCTGGTGTTCCTGGACGAGCCCACCTCTGGCACCCGGGACTTTCCAGGAATCACCGAGCGCGTTCCGCTACTCGCAAAGTGCCTATACTCGCAAACGTCACCCCAAAGGCATATGTTTGCCTCGATGTCGCGTATCGCAACTCACCCATGGCCGATCCAGGCCATCTGCGAGCAGTTACTTTGCGAGTAGTGGAACGCGCTTGTCTAAGGAAGAGAGACTTTCGCCATCGAGTGCCAGAGTTGTTGATGTAACGCCCCCGGCGAAGGCCGGCGGCCGCAGAGCATGGACGGCTCCCGGGCGGAAGCCGGGCTACGGCCAGCAAAATTCAACGACGGATAAAATCACAACGGGAGTTTTTCGCTATTTTCAGCTTCCGGGGGCCCTTACTCCTTACCGGGCCCCAGGACCGTCAAAAAACGACTCAGGATGAAAACCGGGCCTGGGGAATTGGTCCAGACCTCTGGGGGTTGACGCTGTGACAAAAACAACAACAAGACGTGCGGTGCTTGGGTCTGTTACGATGTGAGGGTCTGACTCTCCTCTGGAAGCACAGCAGATTGCAGCCCAGAGAGAAGACGGTCGGCTTGATGTCAGTCAGCCAGCCCTGCGAGACCTAGTGATCGAGGGTCCGGTTTCTAGTACTCCATTCTCTTCCGGACCGCGTCCAGCCCTTCTGGACTGGCCCTGAGGCATGGACCCCGCGAACCGACGGAAGTTGTGGGACCTCCTCGTGCAGATGAAAAACCGCGGCAGGACCATCCTCTTCACCACGCACTATCTGGATGAAGCCGACGTGCTGGCACAGCGGAAAGCCGTGCTGGACCAGGGCAAGGTCCACGCGTGAAAACCCGCCCGCTGCAAGGTGGCTAACAGCGACGCCCATTTTTGGAGCGAGGGCGGAAGGACGGCAGGACGGAAGGACGGAAGGAAGCAAGCAGGCAGGAGGACGACGACGGCGGCGGTGGCGGCGGCGATGGCGACGGATGACGACGAGGAGGTCTTCGTCGTGGTGGCTCATCGCGACAGCAGTGGCGCGCATCCGACCACGGGATCCCCTCAGATGCAGCGACAGGGAGGCGTTCGGGGACCGCTGGAGGAGGAGAACGATGATCACCACCACCACCGCCACCACGACGACACGACAACGCCGCCGGCGCCGCCGCCTTCGACAACGACGACGACGACGCCGCCGCCGCCTTCGACAACGACGACGACGACGCCGCCGCCGCCTTCGACGACGACGACGACGTCGCCGCCGACGACGAGGTCCGCGTCGTGGGGACGTCCCTGGACCTCAAGCACCAGTTTGGCGTGGGCTACCACCTGCGGGTCGTCGGCCAGGCCCCCGGCGACGGCGGCCGCCCGCTCCAGGACCGCGCGGCGGCGAGCTCCGCGCTCCACGGCCCGCCGCCCGCGCGCCAGGGCCCATCTCCCCTGGGCCCATGAGCGGCGAGCGTGTGTGTGTGTGTGCCCTCCTGGCCTGCTGACGCGGCAGGGAGGAGGAGGAGGAGGAGGAGGAGGAGGAGGAGGAGGAGGAGGAGGAGGAGGAGGAGGAGGAGGAGGAGGAGGAGGAGGAGGAGGAGGAGGAGGAGGAGGAGGAGGAGGAGGAGGAGGAGGAGGAGGAGGAGGAGGAGGAGGAGGAGGAGGAGGAAGGTTGGCCGCCCCAGCCGCTCCGCGGCGATGCCAGCCATGTGTGAGCGCTCTCCCCTGCCCTCCGCCCGCCCTGCGGCCGCTCCGCCTCTCCTTCCCTTCGCCTGCCGCCGGGTGTAGCTAGTGTTTTCCGCTGCCCGCACCGCTCGAGCGCGCGTGCGGACTGCCCCTGCCGCGCTGCGACGTAGACTTGTTTAACCTACATTTAAGTAGGGCGTGCCCCTCTGTAGGCGGAATGTTCAAAACATGTCAAGTATAAAGAGTCGGGGGACGATTTCCCGATTATTCTTGACATTTGTTTTTCCATATTTTTCGGGTTGTTTTCATTTTCGCCCCAAGTCCGCCTGTATCAAAGGCAGAAAAAACGCCCCTACCCTGGTTTACGAGGCGCTGTGCGCTGAAACTCCTGTGGGCTGACAGGGCAAACCCTGCGTGATGTGCCGCGTCCTGGCGGCTCTAGGCTTCGGGGGTTCCCAGGAGGTTTACAGACCACGCACTTGTAACCCAGGGTAGGGCCGTTTTTTCATCCCTCAACTGTAGGAGGACATGCCCGACCTAACCGTAGATAGGTTCGCGTCGTGTCGGGCGGCGCCCTCGCCGCCGGCGTCCAGCATGGAACGCCGCTGGCGATCCAGAATCGGTCGATGTTGACCGATCTGATCAGGATGCCCGAAATGGGTACTGAAAGAATGGGTACTATGCCCAACAGCAGTTCCTGTTCATTTTGAACAAGATCCGCTGTCCACGCCGCCGCGGCCTGTGTCCATTCGAGACAGGAGGTCGCCTGCCCAACAGCGGCCGCTGTTGGTTCGGGACAGCATTTGCTGTTGGGCATGTTGCCCATTCTTTCGGTACCCATTTCGGGTGTCCAAATCTGACGCTTCGGAAACGGACGATCGTTCATCCGCGGCAAGCGAGGGGGGGAAACGAGAAGGAGAAGGCCATCCCAGGAGGCGGCGGGATGTCTCTCAGAGGCCCTCGCGCCTTCTGAGAAGTGTCCTGTGCCTTCGGGGAAGGCTCAGAAAACTTCTCAGAAGGCTGGGGGACTTCCGAGCCCTCTGAGAAGGCCTCCTCCTCCTCCTCCTCACTTTCCCCCCCCCGGCGCGCCGCCTACTCGAGGCTCTCTTGAGGCGGGGTGCCTTTGGTGCACCCTTTTCGGACCACTCGGGTCCTCTCTCCGGGCCTCGTGGGGCCCCCTTGCCCCCGCGACCCCCGACCGCCCTCGATGCCACGCGGTCCTCCCCCTGCCAGGGCTGGGCGGGCAGAGCCTCTGGAAAGGGTGTGCCCAGCGCACCGCTCTTCCGGGGAGGGTGGTAACCTCGCCTGGGCCCCCTCTTCGCTTGTCGCCGGGGGACTTCCGAGCCTTCTGAGAAGTCTGGAGGCAGGCAACGATAGGGGGGGATAGGCATAGGGGGGATGCATCGACCCCCATTCGCCCATTGATCGCCGACAGGGGCGCGATGGCCAAAACCCGCACAGTAAGGTGCGGATTCACGATCGGGGGCCTATCGCCGATCTATCGGCGATGTGTCGCCGATTCCAGGTCGATGCATCCCCCCCTATGCCAGTCCCCCCCTATCGTTGCCCCTCATCTGGAGGCAGGCAAGGGGTGGGGTCTGTGTGAGAAGGGGTGTGGTGCCAATGTGATGTAAAGGGGGATCTGGGGATGTCATTTCTCGTAGGTGACACCGCCATTCCCGCGATTGGCACCACGCCCCTTCATGCCACACCCCTTTCCGACCCAGTGCCGGGGTCGACACGGCTCGAGCCTGCCGTACGAGCCCTCCCGGCCTGGCCGGGGAGGCACGGGCGCCGAGCCTGTGCCCAGGAGGAGAGCCTGGCCAGGGGCGGTGTGTGTGTGTGTGTGTGTGTTTCCCTAGGACCTCGGGGAAACGTAAGACTCGATTGAGCTGGAACTCGTTGACGAGCGCGTCCTGGGTTTTGGCGGTCTCGTTTTCGTGGGATGTTTGAAGGGGGGAGCCCGCGTCAAATTTCAGATTGGGTCTCGCCATTTTTGATGATGGCCCCGTCGGGCCAACCCGAGTCCCCCGTAATTGCCCGAGTCTTACGTCTCCCCGATAGGAGCGTTTCGCTGGAGAGTTCGATCGAAGAAGAAACAAAACGCCTGTTGGCGCTTCGCGCGGATTTCTTGGATCTGCGCTGGGCTCCGCTCCCTGGCGCGCGGAGTGCGCCAGGGGCGGCGCCGAAGGCGCCGCCAGGAGGGGCCCAGCGCAGATCCAAGAAATCCGCGCGGAGCTCCATCAACTTATGCTTATGTTGTATTTTCTTTTTTCTATTCAGCCATGTAGGAAAAGGACCACAGAAGAGTCCCACGCGGGAAAGGAAAGCCCTAGACCGCTGGGTCCCGCAGTCGGTCCGACAGCCGTCTCGCCTGAGACTTCATCACAATTTTCTCCAGAATCGTGCTCTCGGTTCAATGAGGGCTACATTTTTGGTCCAGGCGGCCATGATCCCTGGGAAGACATGCGCTGAGGTGCACTTGGCCGTGATCTCACCCCTGTCCTGGCTTCATGTTTCCTAGGGATCCTTCGAACCCATCGGACTGCACGTTTTCGCGAGCCGACCTCCTACTCCTCGACCCGCCTCTTCACTCGTGCTGCCACCAGGGTGCTTTGCCTGGGGTCATTGGGCCCCTCGCCCTCACCTCGGAGAGCCAGTCCGAGACGCGGGCGCTGCGCCGGCCAGCAGCGGACCCCCTGGCTCCGCCATGGGAGTTACACCGGAGGGCGCACCCCTGAGGCAAAGAACCCAGACTCGCGACGCCATGCTTTTCTCACAGGATGTCGACCCCCAGAAGCCTCGAGCCATCCCACATGCCCGGCTTCTCCTCCTGATTCGCTTCTGGACGGCCCCAGGGCCCAGCGAGGGCCCTGTGATGCCGAAAGTCGGAATGACAAGCCGCCCGCCGTGCCTTTTTCAGGACCCGAGGAGGTCTGGGAGGTGCGGTGGGTACGTCTGCAGATCCCGTCGCCCTGCAGGAAGCGGCCCTGGAGGCCCTGGTGCGGCAGCACGTCTCGAGCGCCTCGCAGGAGGCTGCGCCGCCCCGGCCTGGGGCTGCCCCCGCGCACGGCCAGGGTTGCTTCGTGCTGCCGTACAGCGCGTCCGAGAGCTTTGGCCAGCTGTTCCAGGATTCCAGGGAGGAAGCAGTGCCCACTGCAGTGGGGGAGAGATTGGGTGCTTGGGGAAACGGGTCCCGAGGTTTTCTGCCGTTTTCGGGCTCTCGGGGGGACCCCCACGGGCCCCGGGGCCCGTCAGACAACGACTCAGGATGAAGACCTCGCCCTGAGGGAAGGCCCCAGGGCCCAGGACTCGTTTCCCTCAGGACCCGCGCCCCCCATGCTGAACCTGTACCGCCACCCTTTTCTCGTTTTCGCCTCTTTGGGCCTCCTGGGAGGCCCCCGTCGCCACCGCTGCCGGATTCGCTCCGAAACTCGGGCCAGGACGCACCCCTGGAGAGGTCCGGGGAGAGATGGTGTCGGTGCCCTGCCCTGCTGCCTGCCTCTGCGTGCGCGCGAGCGCACAGGCTCCAGACGACTCCGCGGCCGCTCTTCGCTCGCCGGGCGTCGGGCTCCGGAGCCCTGTGCCGGATGCTCGTTCTGAGGACCTTCCTGGGCCCCCCAACGGATCTGTTCGACTCGAGTTCGACTCGGGTTCGGCTCAGGTTCGAGTTGCAGTCGACGGACGTTCGTCGCAGCATCCTCGCAGGAGTGGGGCGAGCGGCTCCAGGAAGGTCTCCGGAGCGAGAGTCTGGGAGGAGGAGGAGGAGGAGGAGGAGGAGGATGAGGAGGAGGAGGAGGAGGA